CAGCATCTACCATGGAATAGGCACGATATATGTGTGTGTGTGTGTGTGTGTGTGTGTGTGTGTGTGTGTGTGTGTATTGTTTATTTTTTTTATTTTCTTAAACTATGATCTTTTTGGCTACAAAGACTGGGATAGAAATCCCAATTCCAGTACCTTCTAGCTATGTAAACTTAGGCAAGTTAACCATTTTGAATCATAATCCCCCCTCCCCGCCCTCCATTGAAAATGGGTCTACAAGTACTTCATACTTATTCACAGGATTGTGGAGAAGCTCAGGTGAGGCGACGTACATATGCATTCTGTGTCATGCCCAGCACATGGAGGTGCTCAGTAAATTTCAGTCTCTATCTTTTGCTGTTTGCTTTAAGGTTTTCTGTCAGAGTTAGCAAACATTGTGGTTTGCCACAAGAGGGCAATACGAAATGGAAATAGAAATCTATGCCTAAACAACAACAAAAATTCCAAACCCAAAATCTATTCTAAATTACATAAATTCATCTTTCTCTTTCTCTTCCTAGCTCTATGTCTATATCTAGCTCTAGCTCAATCTCCTTTTCTTTGGGTAAATGTAGTTAGCTGATGAGGATTTCATGCTTAGAATTCTGTTTTCTTCCTTCATCCTGTTCTTCAGCTGCACCCTGCAACCCTGAGTGTGAGTGATGCACATCCCTCCCCTAGACAACTCCTCTTAGTTACACTAACTTTACCTCAAACTTAGCATGGGAAACTAAGCCTATTGCACTTTTTCTAAAAAGATAACACTTCAGAGTCATATAGGCTCAAACCATAGAGAGTTATGTTGGATTCCTACCTCATCCATGAAACCGCACAGTATGTTTCCTTCCTTTATTCAATCTGCTTACTGCCCATTTCTTCCCCATTCTCATGTCTATCTACCTAGTCCAACTCCCTCTTCTCATCTTTCAACTGTGTATCTACTTGGTTCTCTAACCATTGCTCTTTTATTCCATTTATTGGATGACTAGAGGCCTGGTGCACGAAATTTGTATACTCGGGGGGAGGGGTCCCTCAGGCCAGCCTGCGCCCACTCCCAGTCCAGGAGACCTTGGGAGATGTCCAATTGACAGCAGCAGTTGGACATCCTTAGTGTTGCCACGAAGGCAGGAGAGGCTCCCGCCACCGCTGCTGCACTTGCCAGCCATCAGCCCGGCTTGTGGCTGAGCAGAGCTCCTCTGTGGGAGCTCACTGACCATGAGGGGGCAGCTCCTGCATTGAGCATCTGCCCCCTGGTGGTCAGTGCAGGTCATAGTGACTGGTCATTCCACCGTTCGGTCAATTTGCATATTAGCCTTTTATTATATAGGATAAGCATGTCAATACACTCACACAATGTGGTCTTCTGTTCTATGCTCTTCCTAGGAAAGACTCCCATTTTATACCCCTGGACAAAGAGAAGCTTCTTTTTCAGCCCAGGCTATATTTATCATTTGTCTGTGTTTCATGACAACAGTGGAAAGGAAGATGGGAAGAGCTGTATGCATTTGAGGGGAGTTCTTTATTTTATTTTTAGCTGCAAAAAATAATGTCAGCAAGTCACATAGGCTGCTGTCACTAGTGATATGACATGTATACTTGCCCATCAGAGAATGCAATCTCATACATCAATCAATCTGACACAAATTGTGTGGGATCAAAAAAAATAAAAATAACACTTTTAGTAAAGCAGAATAAACAGTAACTGCTATGAATGGGCTTGATTCAAACTTGCTTTTTCTGTTAGCAGAAGGGTATTTTAGAAAATCTCTTGATTCAAAAATTTATGTAGGCCCAAATGGTTTTAAAAACAATCTGATTCTTATGTTTTTTTTGCTTCTCTCTTTTTAAAATATGTTTATATTAATTTCAGAGAGAGGAAGGGAGAGGGAGAGAGATAGGAACATCAATGATGAGAGAAAATTATTGTTCGGTTGCCTCCTGCACACCCCATACTGGGGATCAACCTGGGCATGTGCCCTGGCTGGGAATCAAACTGTAACCTCCAGGGTCAATGCTCAACCACTAGGCAACACTGGCCAGTTTCTTTGCTTCTCTTATTAATAATTAAGTTATCTATCAATAATTGATAAATAAGTCAGGCACAAAGGACAAATATTGCATGATTCTATTTATATGAGGTACCTAGAGTAGTCAAATTCATAGAGACAGAAGGTAGAATAGTGGTTACCAGGGATTGGGGGGAAAAAGGTATTGAAAGTTGTTATTTAATGGGCACAGAGTTTCAGTTAGAGAAGATAAACATGATCTAGAAATGAATGGTGGTGATGGTTGCACAACAGATGGTTGCAGTCTCAGAATCTGAGTCTGGGAAACCTAAGTCTACAAAACTAAAAAATAATAACAACCCAAGAACTTATATGCATATATGCATAACCCATGGACAGACAATAGTGCGGTACAGGCCTGGGAAGGGGGCAGGAGCAGGGTGTAGGGTGTAAATGGGGGGTGGGGGGGAAAGGGGGCATCTGTAATACTTTCAACAACAAAGATGAATTAAAAAAAGAATAATAGCAACCTAAGAGGAACACTTATTGAGCATCTATTGAGCAACAGGCTTAAGAGCTAGATGTGATCTAGGTCAAGGAAAATGTCTGAGGCAGATTTACAAATATCATATATTAGTTTACTTTCCCTAACTCACTATTTTGCTCTTTACCAGAAACAAACAAAGCCCCACACATCCCATTTCAGAATTAAGAAAACAAACAGAGACATTTCTCTGTGCCGGTAACCATGCCAAAGAGTGTGTCAGCCAAGAGTATTTGTGAAACTCACCGGGCAGCTGGCAGGGCCACACATTATAAAGTGGAAATTTTTGGAGAGGCTACATTTCAACCCATTAAAAAAGTTTGCTGGTGTAGACAGTCTTTTATTTAGAAAGCCTATTTTCAGAAAGAATCTGGTTCAGTCATTATGGTGGGAGAAATAACACGTGAAAACAACAGTTCAAAACCGACCATAAATCTCCCTCAAAGCAAAACTATTTCTGGTGTCTCTCAAGTAGCTGAGTTAATGTGGCATAAGACAAAGCCTGACAAGCAGGTATAATTAAAGGATGAATCACAGGGATAAGTCATGGGTAACTCTGAAAGTGCCTACAGGGAAAATAGTCCATTCTAACACACTGAACTTTAGAGGCTAAAGGATGAAGGGTAGGAAGAAAAATCCCCTTTTCTACATGAATGCAATGATCAGCTCCAGTGGAAACATATTGATAATGGCATCAGCACATTATTGGTACAGAGAATATCCTGCCTCGTGTGATATGGGTATTCTTTCTCTATGTTTTCTCTTCTGAGAACTACTAAGGGTCAGGTACTATGCTTTGCTTTATTTATCTTTCCATATAAATCACTTCTCTGCCCAGAGCCTAAAAATGTAGACAGTAGGTATAAAACATGCAATTGCACACATGAATGGATAAAGGATTACCTGTTTCTTAGAATCTAGAGTATGTCCTATACCTTTAAAGAAAAATGAAAACTGATATCAACATAATAAATGGTGCTTACCAAAGACTGTTGATGTGCTTTTTCAAAGAATTAATCACAGGACTTTTATTTAATGAAAAACAGGAAGGGATTATTATATTTTATCCTGTTTCATATCGCAGCCACTGGCATTGGATTTAGTTTCTTGGAACGGCAACATGGCAAAAGTTGAAAGGAAACTATTTATTTGGCCTCAGTGGTATTCTGTCTTTTGGCTATGTGACGACTAGATGTAAAAAATAAGGTGGAAAACAGCCCCACTGCTTCTGTAGCTCCATTAACTGACAAATAACAGCATGATTACTCCCCCCCCCCCCCCACCACATACCAGATAAGGGGGGTTTAACTGACAGACACAAGTCAGACATTTAGAATTAAAGTGATTGGCCATTCTTCCAATTATTTGAGGTCTAGCCATCCAGGAAGGTCTTTAAGTCTAATTTTCCTGGCTCAGAAAAGTTTAAATCAAATATACTGTTTACATCATCGTATCTCTTAGTTGAAGGTTTATCTGCTACTTTTAATGTTTATGTGTACTTAAAAAAACTATTTGGAACTACAAGTCTTGACAGTCTCTGAAACTTAATTGGGAAAAATGTCAAGCACTTTAGTGGAATTTTTCCCATGATCTTGTAGAAGAGTGTTTTTTTTTTTTTTTTAACAGATGGTTCAAATGGACAAAGCAGTGAAGACAGAAATTAAAAGCAGATTCTTAAGAAAAATAACTGGTTCTCAGAAATCCTGGAGATGATGGCGGACTAGATGTAACACAGCAGTTTCTCTTGCTGTCAAGCTCTGGAGAGAACAGATATTTATTAGGTGAGCCCCTACCAGACGGGGGGCGACTGCCTCTTGGTGGGAATCAGCTATTCATCTAGAACTCCGGCCAACTTCAACAATCCCCAAATCTTCACGCTCCAGGGCGGTTTCATCCAGGTGTCCATACAAGATATAGTGTTACGTGGCAAATAGGTTTTCTCCTAGAGTAGGGCCATCGGAGTCCCAGGCGGCTCTTTGGGGTACTGGGGGAGACCTAAAACCTTCCCACCTTCACAACAACTTGGAAAAACATGATGAAGCTTTCGTTTTGAATAGAAAAGCCCCGACTTTCTTGGATCAATGAAGTGGGCCAGATGGGAAAGAGACAGGAAAACTTCTCCACCTCGAGTTTACAGGCATTCATCTAAAGTTTAGATTCTCAACTCATGCTTCAAAGTAGCATCTTCCAACGAGGCTTCCAAATGTTCTCTCAAACTTTAGGGCAAGGGAATGCTGGCTTGTATCCCGGAGTCCAGGGAGTGGAGGACCCCTTAGTGTCACCACCTACAGACCACAGGGAGCCAGGAGCGCAGCAGGGGACAGGGTCACCGCCCAGGGCACCGGCTGGAGCGCTCGGGCCGCAGCAGCGCGGAGCCTGGGAGCGAAGCGCGGGCCGGGGGCGGGGGCCGGAGGGTGAGCGGGCGAAGGGGCGGGGTAGCGGGGTGGGAGCGCGGAAGCGGGAGGAGGGTCCCGGAGCCCGGGTCCCATTCGCGGGCGCTCTGAGCCTGCGTCCGCGGAGGGGGAGGGCTGGCCCGGCCCGGCCGGAGTGGCGGCGGCGCTCCCGGCGCGCAGCACACACCACCGTCCGGGGAGCGGAGGCGCGCGGAGCTGCCGGAAGTGTCTGCGGGCCGGAGGGAACTTTCCTGCTCCCGCCGCGGCCCGGAGCCCGCCGCCTGGGTGCCGCAGCGACCATGCGCCGCCAGGGCGACACCCTGAGCGGACCCGCGCCTCGGCCCACCCCCGGCGCCTGCGCCCGCCTCGCCCCCAGGGCGGCCTGAGTCCCCCCGCGTCCGCGCGCCACGGGAGCCCGGCGCCGTCGGCGGGGCGCGCGGGGCCCGCTTCCTCTGCGCAGTCCCCTCGCGTCCCGGCGCGGCCCCCGCGATCGCGCGTCGCAGCGCCGGCCACGGTCCCCGCCCGCCCGCGCCCCCGCTCGCGCCCTGACTGCCGGCCCCGACGGGACCCCGGCGGCCGCGGGCAGCGCCGGTGCCATGGGGCTGCCGACGCTGGAGTTCAGCGATTCCTACTTGGACAGCCCGGACTTCAGGGAGCGCCTGCAGTGTCACGAGATCGAGCTGGAGCGAACCAACAAGTTCATCAAGGAGCTGATTAAGGACGGCTCCCTGCTCATCGGGGCGCTGCGGAGTGAGTAGCGCGGGCGGTGCAGGGCGGAGGGGGCGAGGGGGTCCGCGCAGACCGCGCGGGGTGCGGGTCGGAGGAGTGGGAAGGAGGAGACGGAGCTTCTTTTGTTTGAATGGGTTTGGGGGACAAAAGCTGAAGAGCTCCCCTGCTGGTGGCCAGCAAAGTTTGTTGGGAGGTGTTCTGGACTCCCAGGCTACAGAGAAGGGACAGTTCTCACCTGGACGCTGGAATGAATCCTGAGTGAAGTTGTACAAAAGCCATCAAAAGCCATTTTTTTTTTTTTTTTTTTTTTTTTTTTTTTTTTGTATAACGTCCTTGGAAAAAATATTGGGGACTGTTGGTCTTTTTTTTTTTTTTTTTAAATTTGAACACTTTAACAATAATCCTTAAGGAAGGATTCAAGAGTTTGTCTTAAGGCCGAGCAGAGGTCATTTGTTTAGTGGTATTCAAAGAATATGATTAATTTCCTATGTATCTGTCAGTGGCTCTTCACTGGACACAACCATTGAGTTGGCTTTTAAAAAATACGCATTTGTAGTTTGTGGTGATCCTGGCGTGAACACACCTACTGCGCGGCTAGTCCTGTAAGAGTGAGATGACGGAAGGCAGTGTGGACCAGTGGATTTTATCTCATTATAAAGTTATTGTGCATCTTAATGTGGGGTTTGCATTGTAGATCCGGAGTTGGTGGAGTCACTGAGGACCCGAGTGCAGTGGCTCAAGGCCAGTCAGAGCTTCTGATCCTCCATAGGAAGTAAAGCAAGCCCCCAGGGGCTTCGGCCACCTCCTGTCCCACACTCCGGAACCGGAACCGGATCTGCACTTTTAATTACTAGGGCCTTAGGAAAAGAAACTCCAGAGTGTTTTTAAAATAGATAATCGAATGAATCAATAATCAGGCTGAATGGTTACCTTTCCCAGGACATATTTACATCTTAACAGAGGCTTCTGAATGCCTTAGCCACTGAACAGAAATACTGGTATCTCTGGCCTCTGCTGGCTGGTGAAGTATTTTCATAAAGTGGGGAGGCCTTTGGGTGACCTAGCAATCCTTAGGACAAATGCAGGGGAAGCATCATTGTATGTCAAGTACAAGGTCAGCAACAGCATGGGGGAGGTATGTGTGTGCTGGAAAAAGGCATCATTAGTATCTGATCTGTATTGTGTAGCATGTGTTAATAATACCAAGGATGGAGTTTAGCAAAATGTATTGAAATTAGCCCGCCCCGGGGTGGCTCAGTGGTTCAGCGTTGACCTATGAACCATAGGGTCACAGTTCGATTCCCGGTCAGGGCACATGCCAGGGGTTGCAGGCTCCATCCCCAGTGGGGGCATGCAGGAGGCAGCTGATCAATGACTCTCATTATTGATGTTTCTATCTCTCCCTCTCTCTCTGAAATCAATAAAAATATATTTTTAAAATTTATTGAAATCACTGTGCTTCCAAATGCTAGAACATTTACTTATCACTTACGTTACTTACCGGGGTAAAAGAAATATGTTTTATGCCCACATTCATTCAATTTCTGAAGTTGAGGCTACTGCTGATAACAATATTTACTGATTTGTGAAAAATATAACTTATCTGTGTTCTTTCCATCCCGAGTGTAGACAAATGTGAGCTCTTCTTCCTTTGGGTTTGCGAATCCTGCCTGAGTTCTTGGGACTAGCCTCTTTGCCTCTTCGAGAGCGTGATGCCTCTTCAAAAAGTTTCCCCGCCTCAGCGTGCTAAATGCTGGGCCAACTCTTGCTGGAGGTGCCAAATGGACTACAAATGGCATTTCTCTTCACTGCTGGAGATCAGTTTTAGTGTTTCAAAAGTTGAAAATACTTACATAACTGTGAAAACTAGTTATTTTACTAGTAACATTGTGTGCTTTCTTAGGATTTTTGAATCTAGCCTTGCAGAACTCAGGTGATTTCCGTTCTTACCGATCTGTTCTTTCCTTCCTAAGTGAAGAAATCTTGAGCGCAGGTTTCGTGAACGTATAGACCCGGCCTTGTTACTTTGGCACTTATGCACTTAAATATACAACCTGCTGTCTTTCTAGGATTCTTAGGTTTGTGGTGAGAGTGCGGTACAGTCATGTGCTATACAACAGCATGTCGGTCTGCAGCGATGGGGCCATAGATTACAATGGAGCTGAAAAACTGCTATGGTTGGTGATGTAGTAGCTGTCCTAAAGTTGTAGTGTGGCACATTCCTTACGCGTTTGTGGTGATACTGGTGCGAACAAGCCTGCTGCGCGGCTGGTCCTTTAAAAGTATAGCACATACAGTTATGTACAGTACGTAGTACTTGATAATAAACGACTGCATTACTAGTTTATGTATTTACTGCACAATAGTTTTTATCCGATTTCAGACTGTACGCTTTCTACTTACCTGAAAGTTTGCTGTGAGATAGCATGCCATGGAACACCAGCAGCAGCCTCGTGCACCTCCTGTTTATTCTGTCTCTTGAATGCATATTTTCTCTTGTACTTGATTTAATCTCATGTTGCTTTATCAATGTAGTGTAGCTTAAGAGTGCAGTGTTTATAAAGTCTGTGGTAGTGTACAGTAATGTCCCCGGCCTTCACATTCACTTACCACTCACTGACCCACCCAGAGGGATTTTCAGTCCTGCAAGCTCCATTCACGGTAGGTGCCCTTCCTATACATGTGCACCGTATTTTACCTTTTTTAAAATCCTCACCCAAGGATATGTTTTTATTGATTTTAGAGAGAGAGGAAGGGAGAGAGAGAGAAACATGGATGCCAGAGAGAAATATCAGTGCCACAGAGAAACATCAATTAGCTGCCTCCTGCACTTGCCCTGATGGGATGGAACCCGAAACCTGGGTATGTACCCTGGCCAGGAATCAAACGCATGACCCTTTGGTTCATGGACAATGCTCCAACCAACTGAGCCACACTGGCCAGGGCCCATATTTTATCTTTTATACCATATTTTTACTGTACATTTTCTATGTTTAGATAAACAAATATAGTGTTAAAATTGCCTACAGCATTTAATACCGCAACATGCTGCACAGGTTTGTAGCCTAGAAGCAACTGGCTATATTATATAGCCTCGGTGTGTTGTAGGCTATATCAGCTAGGTTTGTGTGAGTATAAATGCTCACACAATCCTCGTATCTAATGAAGAGGTAACATGCAAATTGACCATCATGCTGTCACAAGATGGCAGCACTCACAGTGGGGGCGGGGCCAGCCGCTCCGTGTGCCTACCTCTGGAATCCCCTCAGCCCCACTGGGGGCCTTGGGTCCTCCTGAGCCCCCCCCCCCCCCCCGCCCCCACTGACTGACAGCTCGCCCAGGCTCCTCCAGTGAGCTGCCCATCCCTCTCTTCTGCCCTCCCCTGAAGCTGAAGCCTGAACAAATTGGGAGTTATAACTCGTGTCGTTGAGAGTATCCTCCATTCCTCAGCCGGGGCCAGCCTCTCCGCACGCCTGCTGCCGGAGTCCCCTCTGCCCCTCCAGGGGCCTCAGGTCTTCCTGCACCCCCCACTGACTGAGGCTCAGGCAAGCCTCGGATGCTGGCTGCCCAGCTGCCCAGGGCCAGCCTGCGGCACAGGCAAGTCTCGGATGGTGGATGGTGGCTGCCCAGGCACAGGCAAGCCTCGGGCCGGCCGAGGCTGGTACTTCTGGTAGTGGCAACAGCAGAGGTGTGATGGGGGCGTTGCCTTCCCCTGATTCCCTGGTCACCTCCCACCCCTGAGGGCTCCCAGACTCTGAGAGGGGGCAGGCCGGGCTGTGGGACCCCCCCCCTCCAATGCATGAGTTTTCATGCACTGGGCCTCTAGCCTATAATAATAAAAGCATAATATGCTAATTAGACTGGACGTCCTTCTGGATGGCCTTCTGGATGAAGCCAGGTCTGCAAGGGAAGCCCGGGTCCTGGGGGCTGGGGGAAGAAAGGTCTACTCTTGCATGAATTTTGTGCATCAGGCCTTTAGTAATGAAATAAAAATCTAATGATGCATTTCTCAGAATATTTCTCTGTTGTTAAGCAAAGCATGGCTGCAATTTAACATTTGATTATTACTTCTCTCGTTGTGGAAGGAAAAGATTTTATTCCTTGGTAATAGAATTCCCAGCATCAGCTGCCAAATAGGAAAGATTTGAAGCGGAGGAACCCTTGAAGTCACATGATGGCACTGGTTTTTTCCCACCAAGCCACCTTCTGTCCCTTGGGGAGGATGCTCTGAGGCTGGGCTGCAGCTGCTAAATGCCTGCTGTCTGAAGTTGCTAGGACAGTGAAGCCTGCTTAGAACTGTCTTAGATTCAGGGGGGAGCCCTCCTTCCTTCCAGCCTGCCCCTTCTGACTGTTTTTTCCTTTCTGTCTCAGAAAGCCTTCCCCTTCTCTATCTTGAAACTAAGCTTTTCCTTCTCTATACCTACTGTTTCAATAGTGTTTCCATTATCCTTTTCAGTTTTTTTTTAGCACCTTGCTGTTATTTTCATTAACAGTTAATGATTTCTTACTATAACTTTCCTGTATAATCAGTACATTTCTAGGCATCTTCTATTATTTTCATCTTAGATAATAACTTTTCTGGTGAGAATGTTGGCATGCACTTTTGATTAATTCATGCATGACTGTTCCAGTAGGAGTTATATATATATGCTCCTTGATCTCTGATTCATGATGTAGGTGTCTCTGGTTGAGTATTTGGAAGGATCCTTATAAATGAAGACCTTATGAAGATGATTTCAATTTCAAATATATCTAAAATACTTGACATGTTTTTTAAGTGAATGATTGCATTTCATATTCACATCTGCTCTTGAGAAAATGGATGACAGTTTATTAAGTGGATTGTCCTAGACCTGAGTTTAAGTTCTGGTGCTTTCAAATGCTGTGTGATATTTAGTAAGTACCTTACCTTCTCTGGGTCCTACCTCTTCTGTAAAATGAGGGAACATATATAAAAATCTTATCACTAAGATTATTTGTTTGTTTTATTACAAGCCACATGACCATTAGGCGAATGATAT